CTGAGCTCCTTCCAAATAATTCCATAATGATTGGAAGCCCATCTGAATGGTTTAATGTCATGACTCAGGGGAAGAGCAGCTGTCAAAAACTCCTTTAGTGGATGGATCATGTTCCTCTCACAATGTCTTTTAATATATTTTAACTAACAAGAATTATGATGGAGAAAAAAAACACAGAAATAAAACATGCTTTACGTACTTAAATTCTAATCTTAATAAAAATATAAACTCTCATAGGAATAGTGATTCACTTCAAGTTAAGTACCTAAATATACCTAGTTTTAAATATTATATTTTGAAATATAGACATGATGTGGAGCAATTCACATGACTGCAATCCAAAATCTATTTTCTCAATGGAAATTGATGTATTTGTCTAAATCAAATATTCTATGGGTTTTTCTTTATTGGTTTAAAAATTGGTATAATCCAGTAGTTAGTATAAATTAGGATTCCATCCCCCGATTAACTCTGTTTTCTTTGAATGAAATGAAATTGCAATTATGACAAGCAGATAATACTAATCTACTTTTATGTATATATTTATAAAGTTTTTTGTCATCCATTCAGAATTAGTGTTGCATATTATATAATCCACAAATATGCATTATTTAAATTTAAGTTTAACTTTACAAACAAGGATTCTCTTTGTCATTTTCAGTGAAGTTTATTAATTTGTTATCTCAACTAGCTGTATATTCAGCCTGTCAATTCATGGGCAGATGCTATGTGTGGGTATGTGTGCACACACATACATATACATAGCATATGCCTATTATATGTATAGGCATAGGCTGTTTGTTTACTGGAGTCAATTCTGTCTTGGTTGGTAGGATATATAGTTTTAGAATGTTTCCACATTGATAAAAAAAATTATTTTAATGAACTATGATAAACCCACGTCACTGTTGAAAGGAAAAAAAGTTTTCTAGATCTCATATTGGCCCAGAATTGTTAATCAACAGAAAATTTGATCTTGATTGTTATTGGTATTAATCTTGATTTTCTTATCAGTTTTGAAAATAAAATATTCAAATTAATTATAAATGCCACACCAAAAATTGTATGTATTTATAAATGTAAAAGTCATTAATTGTTAATTAAGTAGTTGCATTTGATGTAACCACTTTCCATCCCTTGTAGAATGGATTAAGTATGCAAGGTTTTAGACTGGCACTAAGTTTTCAGTTAGCTTGTACTTGCAATATTTGTAGTTAATTTTTTCCTTAATTCTACGTTGCTTCTGTCCTTGATTAGTTTCTATCCATTCCTTCTTGTTAGGTGCTAAGGATATATAATGTTCAGAATCATTTTCAAGATATATGGGCACTAGAAACAAAATTTGCCTGCACCTTCTCTAGCAGTTGTGTCTTTTCCCAGGAAAAAGCCTACTTACTGTATCATGAATATATAATTCATATTATCTTGAAATGTCATAATATGAAATATTGCAAGTTACAGTTTTATAATTGGTGCAATTGAGTCAGGTATATGGAAAGATATTTCTTCCCCTAGAAGTGATGTTTTTGTTTATGATCTTGCTTTCAGCTTTATTTTCCCTCCCCCTAACTTTTAGATACAACAGTTGAGGCAAGAGGCAAAATCTTGAGGCAGGAATTTGGCAGTTTTGTCTCCATAAGTGGGAACTCAGTACAGTTCAAGGACTCAAGGACTTTCTGTTCCACAATGAATCATAAATGGGACCTATTTTATTGATTTGAACTGTAGGCTTCCCTTGGCAAGCTAAACTATAAGTAGATAAATTAGCATTAAACATATACTGTAAAAAAAAAAAGGTACAAGAGTCCCTGCGGATTTTGTTCTGCTAGTCATTGCCAACTATAGGGGATGGTACCTATTTATCTATGTGCATTTGCATGTTTTCAAACTGCTAGGTTGGCAGGAGCTGGGGCAAGGACAGCAGCTCACCCTGTCACATGGCGCTCAAGTCTTGAACCTGGACTGCCGGCTTTCCAGCAAGCCCAGTTTCTTAACTGCTGAGCCACTGCTGTACGAGCTTTTTAAATGTTTTAGTATAGAAAAAATAAGAATCCGTTACAAAATAATTCTTTTGACTTCAACATAAGAGATTCAAGTTCTATTTATAGTAAAATTAAGATTCAGATTCTTGCACCTCTTTCTTCTGATTATGTACAGAATATTATAGAACCAGGGGTGAAATCCAGCACATTTTGACAGGTTCTGGAGAACCGGTAGCAGAAATTTTGAGTAATTCAGAGAACTGGCAAATACCAACTCGCAGAGTGGGGACGGAATGGGGATTTTGCAGTATCCTTCCCCCAGGAGTGGGGAGGGAATGGAGATTTTGCAGTACCCTTCCCCTGCCATGCCCACCACACCACGCCAACCAAGCCAACCCACGCCCACCAACCCACACCCACAGAATCGGTAGTAAAAGAATTTGAATTTCACCGCTGTATAGAGCCATTCTCTTTTGAGTGGTAGGGATGTTTTCCATCCCTCTTTTGTTTTGGTCATGGCCTGTTCTGATATTAAACTGTTTTCTAATAATGATTTCACACAATTGTGGTGGACCCCAAGATCTCCCTCTTCTGTCCTCAGTTGAGTAGAAAACATCCTGTCAGCACTTCAACCTGCATTTACTCTAGTGCTGACATAAGAAGGAGAAGCGAAGGCGTCTGGAAAGGGACGGCTGACATTTCACCTACTTATTTTCCCTGGAGATAATGTTTCCGAGGAGATGAGATGGGAGGGGGGAATTCCTTTGAGCTGGAGTAGATTAGGGGTAGAATGACTTGGAAGATGGCCAATGAGTGCAGGGGAGTGGGTAACGGAAAGGGAGGGTTTTGGGGCTGGAAGTCAGTGTTGGCTTCGTTTGGAGTCAGGTTAGGATGTCGTGCTCAATAAATAGGAGTTTTTTTCTTCAAAGATTTTGTTTGAAATGCATTTTATTCGAGATGACCTCGAAACTTGACACATCCAGCAGTTCTGTTGTCCACTGACTAGATCCTTGCCTAATACTAGATCAATCAATATAAGTTTTAATAACAACAGTCACCACAAAAAGGTTGTGAGGCTTGCATAGTTCTAACACAAAATCATTTCTATGTATCAGTCTAGCTTCTGTTAACTTGTCCCTCTTTGATAAGTGTTGCAGATATAATACAGATATAACTTGATAATACATTGTTTTCTGAGGCTGAAGTTTGTTGTTGGTCAACCATTCAATCATTTTCAACTCATGACCCAAGAACAGACACCAGGAGTGGGGTTTTTTTAGTAGTTGCTCCTTCAGTTATTATAAGCTCATAGTAGCATCTAGCTATTTTGTCTTCTATTGACCTCTTTTTGATTGCCTTTCATTTTTTCAAATGTCAGATTTTTCACAAATAATCTTGCCTTCCCATTACGTCTTCAAAATATCTCTAGCTTCATTATTAGTGTTTCCAGTGAACAGTTTGATTTTATTTCATGTAGTATTGAATTATTTTCTCCTTGTAGTCCAACTTATTCTTAACAATCTTCTCCAACAATACATTTCAAAGACATCTGTTTTTCTTTATTTAAAGTTTCTGATGGTTGTGCTTTCACAGCCATGTATTAAAACAGGAAAAATAGTATGCCTTGATGGTTCTCACTTTTGCTGTCACTGTGATGCCTTTGCTGTTGTTGTTAGATTTGTCAACTTTTGCCCATACTCTCCTTATTTCTGGCTACAGTTACCATCTCTTTGAATTTTTGAGCCTAGCTAAAGTCTTTAAGAAGCAGAAACTATTAATTTGTTAATTGCAGTCTTTGCTATACATGGTTTCTCTTTTTGATAGAAATGGTTCATGGAGTAAGTAAAATATTTATGGAGAACAGTTTTTAAGTTGGGTAATTACATCAGCAAAGCTTTGCTATAAAATTTTAATTTTACAATTTTATGGTATTTTAAAATATAGTATATTGATTATCATGTTATAATTGAAGACTGTACAACAAGCAGGGAACTGCAATTTTATTTTATTTTATAGTTTATGCATTATATATTTATATGTATAAGATTTCTGACAATATCAACATGTATAGTATGTTAAGTTCTGCCTGAAACTGGTATATTATAATGTAGCCAATTGTGTTACAGGTAGTTTTTGACTTACGATCATAATGGAGCCTGCCCCTTACAATTGCAAGTTGTGACTGTTGTAAAGATGATCACCCACATTATGGACCTGATTTTGCAATCTTTTTTTGCAATGGTCATTAAGCAAACACCATGTCATTGAACAAACCAATTGTTTGCTGTGGACTATTTTTTCTGAAAACGGGAAATAAATGCCAATTTTCATCAAAAATGTCATAAAACATGACCATATGATTGCAGGACCCTGCAAACAGCTGAAAATGTAGGCCAGGTGCTGAATGCCCAAAATGTGATCATGTGACTGTGGAGGAGTGACTATAAGAACTGTGGAAGTGGGTTGTTGTATATATCCCCAGGGCAGGGGTGAAATGCTACCAGTTCGGGCGAACCGGTAGTGATAAAAACTACAGGTTTGGGAGAACTAGTATTAAAAATGCTTTAAAAAGTAAAAAAAAAAAAAAAAAGTTCCGATGATCACAGCTGTGCCACACAATCGTTGGAACCTTTTCTTTTTACTTTTTTAAAGCATTTTTTTACTACCAGTTTGGGCAAATAGGTAGTAAAAAATGCTTTAAAGATTTTTTTAAAAAATTGGCCATGCACACCCAGTCACATGACCCCTTACCAAGCCACGCCCGCCAAGCTACGCCCACAGAACCGGTAGCAAAAAAAATTGCATTTCACCACTGCCCCAGGGAGGTCCATTTTAACTTTGAACGGTTTCTAAGTGACCAATCGTACCTCAAGGACTATCTGTATATCAGCTTGCCTTTTCTTTAAAAACTTTGCTCTGAAAGTTAATATCATTTGTTTTGGTTTAATATTTTTGACATCCTGACATATTACTTTGGTGAGTTCTTGCTTAGATTTATTTTACTCTTTCTTTTTTTAGCACCACCAAAGTTTGCAAGAACACCTGTTGACCAGACAGGGGTCTCTGGAGGAGTTGCTTCATTCATCTGTCAAGCTTCGGGAGACCCAAGGCCTAAAATTGTCTGGAACAAGAAGGGCAAAAAAGTCAGCAATCAGAGATTTGAGGTATTAGGTCCATTGTTCTGTTCCTCCGAAAACCATTACTCTAATATTCCTTGATTATTCCCTTTTGTTTCTGAATAGTATAATTTTAAACAACAGCAGTGATGCTTCACAGTGGTCTTTTAGAAAACAAAATGATTTGTTTCAGACTTTTCCTTAAAGAAGAATTTCATTTTTATTTGTAAGGTTATGGCTCTCAAAGATGTGCTGTGAATATTTTTTCCAATATTCCCTATTTATGTAGGAACTAGTTACTATTGACATGGATTAATGGCAGAAAAATATGGACGTAGTTCCTAAGGTTGTCATTAGGGATACTATGTAGAAACCAGCCAAAGAGTTAGAATTATGATACTTAGCATAATAAAGGTTGGTTCTTTTAACAACCATTAAGAATCGATTTTATTCATGCAAGAATTAGATGTTTTGAGGGTTTGTTTTTAAAAGCAGCAAAGGGTGATGTCAGGGTATGAAAATAAAACATTAGCATTAGAACAAAACTGTTAATAATAACTGCCCCAGTCTTTGTTTCCTGATGAGAAAACATGCATGTTGATAAATAAAATGAAAATAGATGAGTTGAAAGAATAATATACAATACATTTTGATAGCGTGTTTCTCTTTCAGAATGCTGCTTATGTTCTTGACTCTTTTGCCTTTAACATTAGTATAGATGCCCCTTTTAAAAACGTTGGGTGAAAAACCCTGCTATTTTTTAGTGAAATTTACAATACATCATATAAGCAATCAGACCAAAAACAAAACTCCACAACTCTTATGAGCCTTGTCCTTCTATGTAGCCATGGACTATTTACTCTGCATATCATTTGGAGTATCTAAACTTTATTAAGAATTTATATGATGGGATAAAATTGATAACACTTAAGAAATCTCTCAATCATTTTTGCACTGAAACCAGATTTCACTAAGCCGAATGTAGCCATATTCCCCCAAACAGAACCAATGTGAAACAACATTTTTCTTCCTCCATTCTTTTGATTGCCCTTGATTTTCAGGTTGATTTATTTTTTAGATCTCTTTGCCTAAAATCTCCCTTCAGCCAGACTACTTACAGAATCCTACTGGCATTTTATTACTTCTTCACCAGGATAACTTTATGCTATGACCACCAGTTTTAGCCTCAAGATCTTTTTTTTCAAAGAAGTTCCCTCAAACTAAAAAAAAAAAAATGTTCTTACAGCTCCAAGCTCTACTTTATTCAATCATAAACCAACTCTCAGTTGCCTTTTACCAATAAACTTTAATTTTCACTGATTCTTTGCAACTTGAAAAGCTCTGTTCAATCATCTTTCTTAAGATCCTATTGTCAATTCAAGTGTGTTGACTGCTAGTTATTTTTTGTCTGTTAAAGCCTCTGTAATAGCTACGAAGTAGCAACCATAAATATCCTGATCCTAAAACCAGGCATAGTAATTAGATTTTAACCTCGCTCAGAAGAATTATGAGAATGCGCAGTTGACAATATGTTATAATAAGCAAATTAACTAAACACTGTCTTTTGTTGTATTTCATAATGTATCAGAATAATGGATGGAGAACCACTAACATAGACCCATAGTTAAATGCTGCATTTTCCTTTCTATTCTCTCCTTTTTTTTGACCGGGGAGACCACTGTTATGATTCTCTTGATGAAAGTTTTCTTGAACGTCTATCTGTGTTCCCATGAGTCTTTAATTACACTTTGAATCCTACATTTAAATCATGCTTCAGTTGTTAAAAAGAATTTAATTAAAATATGCCTGAATAATTGTTCTTTACTGGGACTGCACTGCACTTTGGAGTCAAAGAGAAAATGTGTGCTTTGGAGCACGCGTGAGATTGTACATAGTACCTGTTGGCAACTGTTTAAATTAATTAAACATTTTTACTTAAGTATTTCTTTCCTCAATAAATCTGAACTGTCACAACTGTTCATTAATGCCTGATCTTTTTCAGCTCTGGATAATTTAATTTATGTTTATTGATATTTGTTAACTAATTGAACAAATACGTAATGATATTTGCATGTTTTAAGAGGAAGCATGTGTGTCTCCAGGCTAAACAAATGTAGTAGCCCTCTAGTCTTTCCATGTATATTCTCTTCCTAGATGCAATCAACATTTTGTATTTGTAACTACAACTTGCAGCACTTTAATTTATATACTCAGTATCAGAAATTGTGTTATGCATTCAGATCTTTGACAAAATAAACATTGTACCCTTCATCATTTGATGGCACATTGTTTGGCTTCATGAAATGTGGAATGAAGAATTTTTTCATCTACTATATCACTCAAAAGATTTTAGCAGGGCTTTTTTATGTAAATGCCGGTATTATCTTTTTGTTATTTTTTATCCAGATAGAAAAATGCATGTGGCTTTTTAAATATAAAATTACCTATATACTTGACATAATAATTGTTTCATATGTACACACACACACACACATATTATACATATACATATGTACATACATATAATGGATTTTTTTTCCAACAATGTTAAAGTTATAATTGATATTTCTATATTTGCCAGACTAAAAGGTCAAGATATAAACCTGATGAAATTAATTGCTGTTTATGTATAGCTGTGAATAGGATATGATTGATCATGCTATGTACAAGAGCCAATCTTGTGGTTAGATAATGGAGAACAAAAGTTGAATAAAAATATGTAACATAATAGAATCCATGTTAGTTGGTACCGAATCTTTTTCTTTTCTTCATCTCATCTATCATGAGCCTGACCCCTAGAGACAGGGATAAATCGGTAGGATTAAAAACTGCAATGTCACAGGTTCAATAGTCCCAAAGGTGCTTTTTCAAGAGGCAACTGGACTTTCTGGTTTTTTCTTTGAAGACATTTTGCTTCTCATCCAAGAAGCTTCTTCAGCTCTGAGCTGGATGAGAAGCGAAACATCTTCAAAGAAAAAACTATAAAATCCAGTTGCTTCTTGAAAAAGCACCTTTGAGACAACCATGACCTGATTGACTGAGAATCTCCATAGACACAGGTTCAATAGCTTCTGAATAAGTATGGGATCATTACATATATAATAACACAATCCTGAATAGAAACTTGTTGGTCTGTTGGTGTTAAGGTGAAGACTCAGATAGGATTCCCTGAAGGTAGCATTTTGAATCAGGTTTGCCTTTGAACCATTCATTCCTGTTTCCATGCATAATCAAGCAAAGGTCAGCATGATACAAGCTTTCTGTGACCTATCCCTTTGTTGGATGTGGAAACATTATTCTATATTTAATGTATACTCAAAAGTGGATATGTGTATGGATGGTGCCTCCCTGAAAGCAACTCAGTATAAATTGCATGTGCTTTTACACTTTATACTTCCTTAGGCTGTGACAGAATAAATTTACGGTCTTCTGTGACAGAAAAAATTTACAGTTTTCTATCCCACTGCAGATATCAAAAGTATGAGACAAAATTTATAAAGCAGTAATTGAACCAACTTTATATAGAAGATAGATTAAGAACCTTGAGTGCTCAGAGCTGGATATTCACTATTCTGCCGTTTTGTATTGATTAAGAGCCAGAATGGGTGCTCTGTGTAACAAAAGTACAAGTAATCATAGTTACGAGCACAATTGGGACCAACATTTCTGTTCCTAAGCAAGGCAGTTGTTAAATGACTCGTGGCCAATTTTAAGATCTTTTTTTTTTGCTATGGTTGTTAAAACAAATCATTACAATTTGTTAAGTGAATCACATGGTTGTTAAATGAATCTGGTTTTCCCCATTGACTTTGCTTATCAGAAGCCAATTGAAAAGGTTGCAAATGATAATTACATGACTCTGGGACACTGCAACTGTCATAAAAAATACTTGGCAGTTGCCAAGCACCCAAATTTTGGTCTCTTAGTTGTGGGAATGCTGTAGAGATTGTAAGTGTGACGAATGGTTATAAGTCACTTTTTTCAGTGCTGTTGTAACTTTGAAAGGTTGATAAATGAATTATTGTAAATTGAAGACTACAAGTAGTCCTTGACATATATCAATTCATTAAGTGACTGTACAAAGTTACAACAGCACTGAAAAATAACCTTTATGACTGTTTTTCAGTTATGACCTTTGCAGCATCCCCATGATCGTGTGATCAAAATTCAGATGCTTGGCAACTGGTTATATTTATGACCGTTGGGTGTCTCCCAAGATCATGTGATCACCTTTTGAGATCTTCTGACAAGCAAAGTCAAAGAGGAAACCAGATTCACTTAACAACCAGGTTACTAACTTATAAATTGCAGAGATTCACTTAACAACTGTGACAAGAAAGGTCATAAAATTGGGAAAAACCCACTTAACAAATGTCTCACTTAGCAACATATATTTAAGGCTCAATTGTATCATAGGTCGAGGACTATATGTACCTTTATAGGCACAAAATAAGAATTATTCTCCAAATACTTAGGTAACCAAAACTTCTAGAATGCCTAACACAGTAACCTCAAATTTTTCCAAAATATCCTTATGATGAAGCAGTTTGACCTTTGTTGTTTATGTATATGTATATTTAAGGGTTTAAGATTGCATTGCCATCTGGTGGGCATCCAATACATTTTTTAGGATTCAGAGATAATAGGCGGGAAATAGAGTGAAAGGCCAAAAATAGTGTGTTGAGAGTTATGGCGTTACAAAGGAAGAGAGATATCAATACACATTTCTTCAGCTTTCCAGGAATGGCAGCAGCTGGAACAGACAATGCAACATTTTATATAAAACTTTGTGTCCACTCTAAAGTTCAAAATACGTTTGGCTTTTGCAGCTTTGCATACTTTTTTTTGAAGAACTGAAAGGATAAAGGACAAACAATAACAACTGGAGCAACTTTGGTAGCATATTTCATCAATGACCTGATCATAATTTTCAGACAGTGCCCCCTCAGTCAGAGATATTTTAAATATGTCATTGTCTGTTGTAGACAAGACCAAGTGATGGTCTGATAACACACTTTGTAACTCAGACAGTTGACCTATTGCTAAGAATATTTTTATGGGAAACATTATTTTTAGTAGGCAACTTTCCCTCGTCTTCTCAAATAGGTGGTACATTAGGAAAATCAAGAAAGCTTCTTTATCTTAATTAATGCAAATAGGAATATAGATAAAAGGTTCAGGTAAGAGTAATTTATGATACAGTGCTGCAATCTGCTAAGCTTGCTATATAATTTTTTCTAAGTATTTGTGTGGACAAATTTACAATATAAAGCTTACGTTTTCTTATGTTAAATGCAAAAATACCTTAGCTAGCTAAGTAATGCTTTCTACACAGCTACATTTTATAAGTGCAAAAGGAAAAAAGTGGTTTATAAGTCACCAGTTTTCTGCCATGTTCTTATTCTTGTTGGGTAAAACTTGCCAATCTCTCTTGGACCACTGTCTTCTATGTTTTCAATGAAAATTATATTGCATGGGAATCTTTCCAGAATATATATATATATATTCAGATTTGGTACATGCAGCAGAGTAAGTTTCTCACAAGAGTGAGAAATGTCTTCTAATTGTCTGGAAACAGACGCATTAGAATGTTATTTTAGGAAACAGAAATCACATGTAGTTGAATATTTTAATAGAAGGGTCATTTGTTAATGTTGATTGGAAGAAAGGGCCATTAATATATTTAAAAAATTATTATTTATTTATATAGCCACTCACAAATTCTGGGTGGCTTCCAATCAGCAAGAGTCTAGAGCCATTGAAATTCTGAAATCATGACCTGCGACTGAGTGCCAGAAAACTGTATAAGCCTTATCCTAAAGGTGCTTTTTCAAGAGGCAATAGGACTTATGTTTAAGAAGCTTCTTGGATGAGAAGCAAAACGTCTTCAAAGGAAAACCAGAAAGCCAAGTTGTCTCTTGAAAAAGCATCTTTGGATAACCATGACCTGGATGACTGAGAATCTCCATAGACAGTATAAGCCTTAGGCACCAAGACCACCTTTCCCAGAAATGGACTGCCATTTGTCTCAGAATATTCCCCCATTCCTGTGACACATTCTTTTCTCCTGCCCTCTACTGTCTTTCTCCCATAAGCCTCCTTTTGGTACCTCCTCCTTTCTCAATGTATAATCCATAACATTCAACCACAGATAAATGAGGGTAGAGAAGCATAAACCTAATTAGAGATGCTTCTGCATAGCATTCAGTGCCCCAGCACAGTCACCTAACCAATCACTTCTTCACTCTCTCCTAGTAGTGTTTGAACTTAAATCAAGTTCTGCAGAGGTATCAAATATGTTTTAGGAATCAATCTGGTGAATCAAATCATAAGCGTAAAGGTTTCTCTGTTTTGTTAACCAATTACGTTATTTTAATGGAAATGCATTTCATTTGTTCTAATAGGCAAAACTGAGGTACTAGGAAACTGAAAGGGAGCGTTCTCTGTTCCAGTAGTTAAAGATTCAAATAATAATGATTGTTTTGATAATTGGATACCAGTTTCAGCAGGATGTATTAGCAAGTTATAGCTTTTGTGTTGTCAAATAATTCTATAATGCTTTGGATAATAGTTAACTGTAGAATTTCATTGCCTTCAGTCATTAATTAAATATTAAATAAAACAGAATATTATTAGGACTACTATATTATCAGCTGCAAAAATCCATACAATCATTAGGTGACAGTAATGTATTAATAGTTTTCTCTATTTCTTTATTGTCATTTACCATTCCTTTGAACTCTTGCCATCCAGATATGGTAGTCCTAATATGTCCTCAGAGTTGATGTCTTGAAGAAAACTGAAATCCATTTATGGTGTCACAATCTGATTACTGCCTGAAACTCCCTGAATATTATGGTCAGGTTCACCTCAGGGGTTTTAATTTGTTACTGCCAGCTGATCAAAAGTATCTAGTAGATATTTTCAAGATTCAGGATATTGATGTAGTTTGAAAAGAACTGATGCAGTAATTGTAGATTTGTGTCTTATTGTAGATGTGTATTCTTATGGCTTAAATCATTGTCCTATTGTGTTCAAGTCAAAGATCAGCATAATGTCAACTAAGTTTCAGTAACACATTAATTTTTGCGCTTCACTGTACTTAAACCATCACTTTTATGAATTGCAAATAGTTACATAGGAGGAATTTAGAATAGTCCAGTTATTACTTTATACAGGATTAACCCAAGAGGTAGGTGTTTGTAACAACACCTGTGACAGCTGTTGTTTCCTTCAATAGGTAATAGAGTTTGATGATGGGTCTGGATCAGTCCTCAGAATACAACCACTGCGAACTCCACGAGATGAAGCTATTTATGAATGTGTTGCATCCAACAGTGTTGGAGAAATAAGTGTGTCCACAAGACTTACTGTCTTGCGTGGTAAGTGTTTTTTTTAAATAATATTTTTTAAAAATTAGTTTATTAAGGTATTAAGTTTATTAGAGTTACTATAGAATTATAATAGTAATACTTAAAAGATTGTATATTGAAAGCTAGAAGGTTGGGCTTTGTTTTCATCTAGAAAGAGTATCTTTTAAATATTGTGATTGCAATCAGTTTGCCCTAGTCCTGGATTGGAAGAGCAGTTGAGATATTTTTCTTTTTGTGTGCGAGGGTTTCCCCAGTCATAAGTACTGGTTGAGATTGCACATTAAATGATTACTGTATTTTGTGTATACATTTTAGAGATGCCAAATATACATATATGCATATATGTATGTATAGTACAGCTAATAATAACAGAACCATGGTTTGTACTTACAGTTAACTGTTAGCATTTGCAATTGGATTACCCTCTGACTATATGAAATCCATGAATTGAGTTTTCCTAGGCTGCATTTCACACTGAGAGTTATATAAGGAGTTTTTTAATAAAATACATTCATTGCTTTTTAGATACATTGAATTTTCAAAACGTTTCAAAAACATTGTTCTTGGCAATTCATTTGTGATAAGCATTTGTATCAAAGCTAGTCCAACAAGTTGATACTGACTTTGGCAGATTATAGAAACAGATTTTATTTATATAATGATGAACTATATAATTAAATGTCTTAGTAAACATTAGCAAACTTTTCTTCATAAGTAGAAATGCTGTCATCTTTTTCTGTTCCTTATATTTTTGAGAAATCGTAGAGAGGTTGATGTTAAACTCAATGCACTAGTTGTAGATGCTTTCTATTTCATTGGTGACAGGAGCAATTTCTTTAAACCCACAAACCAGATCTTACTTCAAATAAACCCCAAATATCAGATAGCCTTTGAATCTGAGTTCCAGGCCCTTAGGAATATTTTATTTTTTCATTTCTTGAATCTTCTGACCCTGTGTTTCCAAACAAAGCATTTTAAGGCTGCTGGATATATATCCATGATGTAGAAATTTAAAACTATTCTATTTGTAGGGTTTGGTTTGGTTTTATTGTTATGCTTCTTGTTGTTGTTTATTTTGAAACAAATTTGGCTGATTAGAGTTCATTTTGTATTATAGTTCTCTTGTAATATGAATACAGATTTAATTATTTGTTGTACTCTTCAATATTATCAGATGTAATTTTATTTAATAGTCTGTTTGTATCTGTATACGACATCCAGTTTCCCATTTGCATTACTTTGCTGTAGTTAAGATTCAAGCATTGATACAAGTGTCTTCCCTTGTCTCCGATACTTCCGATTTTTCATGGATTAATTGATGAAGAAAGATGTCCTGGGGAAAATAAAATAATTGGTAGAAGGGGTGGTACGTATTAACATCAACAAACTTCATTATTTTTCCAAAAGGACTTCTTTGGCAATTCATCTGCGAAGTGACAGCTATATTTACCTCTATGAAACTAATTTTGATTTTGTTATATTTGTCATACCACACTGGCATGCTAATACCATTAGAGGCTTCCTAGTTTTCCTAATGTGTACTATTATTATTATTACTATTATTTATTTGATGTATCAGAGGGACATCTTGTCATTCATTTTTCTATTGGATGAAAAAATATGTGCTAGGGAAAAAGGAGTTAAAAGAAATGAAATGGGAACAAGGAAAGAAGTTGGAGAGAGAAAGTGAAAGTGTATTGTAGAGAGGAAATGCAGTTTGGTTTTGGGCTGTGAATAAAGCTACAGCTAATTGTTCTATAATATTGACAAGCCATTGAATATTGTCTATGTAGAAAATGTTAGCATCCCATGCTAATTTGTGTTTCTGGTAATCCTTTTGCTTTGGATTCTATTTGAACTCTCCTTTGATTGTGTGCTAGAGTCTTAAAAGTAAAAAGTGTTCATTTGCTAGATTCTGGTGATCAGAGAGGATTCAACTACATTCCATATCTAATTTCATTTATAGTAGAAGTAAAATAGTGAATTATTAGACTAAAGCACAAGCATTTTTTCTTCTCACCTTTTCTTCCTTTCTTATTTGATGAATAGGGATGCAGAATGGAAGGCTGTTGCAAGAGTAAATAGTAATTATTATTCATTGAATGTCAGGTTTAATAGGAATGGCTACAAATTAAGGCCATGTTTATTTTTGTTTTTAGCCATTTTAGTTTGTTATTGAAATAAAAAAGAACAGAAAACAAAGAATAATAGCTATTTTGTTAAAATGTGGATTATCAGAGATTTACTTTAATAGCACAATGAGGCTATTGATCTTTCCTCAGGTATCCTGGGGTTTTAATGTGCAAATTGATTTCAGTTTAATAATTGATATAAGGATACATCTGGCTTTTTTAAATAAGAGATTAAAGAAGACATAAAATGGATTGAAGGATTTGGAATGGAACTATGCATAATTTTTGATTGTACAAAGAACTCCACAACATTTACCACTTTCCAGGCATAATGAGCTACAACAGAAACAGGTGTTTGAAAGAACACTGGTTATTTTGATGTTAAATTTAAGAAATCACTTAAAAATCAACAGGATGCTCATCAAGCGAGAAGAAGAGCAAAGAAGAATGTAAAAGAAAATATAGGTATTTAGCAATGGGTTTGCTAACTTAGTTGTTAAGCAAAGTAGTAATCACTGAGTGAAATCATGAATATGCTTGTGATATTACTTCAGTTTTCTTTTGAATATTGTAAATGTGAGGATTAGTTGTAAAGTTACTTTTTTAATCACTGCTGTAACTGCAAGTGGTCACTAAAAAGCAGTTGCTAAATGAGGAATTTTTACAGAGACAAACAATTCCACAGAATGATGCTTAATTTAATTCATGAAGAACAATCACTGTGACCCTTGTGCTATTTGAAGTAAAATCTGTATTTAATGGGATGGGAATTGAAATTGTGCTGAAAGAAATTTAGAGAAGATTGTGGTTGTTGTCTCCCATCTTCACAAATGAATGAACCAGGAGTAGAGTTGGCAATGCTAGTGCCTGTGGAGCTCTGTATGATTTCAATATATTAATGTATGTGCCTATACATTGTCAGTGGTGAGACTGACAAGTGTGCATATGATATTGGAGATCTGGAAACTGCATGCTTTCAGGACATATACGGCCACTGTCATGGGCTTGCCCCATTTGTCTTTCTATCCATGCTTAATCATCTTGATTTTTGGACTTCCTAAGTCCAAAGTTCCTGAGTTTTGTGCATTGCTTCTAAAAATTCATTTCCCAGAATTTATTGAAGAAGGTTGGGTACATTCTGAGATCACTATAGAAAGAAAAACTGTTTTGACAGTTTTATGAGGAGAACAGGCTGCTTCCAATTACTAGAGTCCACAAGGCATGCAGCAGATGGGGAAAAATCCCAGTGCCCTCTACAAACTCTCCAAATTCTCGGGTATCTAAAACAAGCCCTTCTAAAAGGTGCATGTCTTGGTTTGGTTTGGTTTGGTTTGGTTTGGTTTGGTTTGGTTTGGTTTGGTTTGGTTTGGTTTGGTTTGGTTTGGTTTGGTTTGTTTTGGTTTGGTTTGGTTTGGTTTGGTTTGGTTTGGTTTTGCCATCAAACCTAGGAAGTGATCTGGCTATACAATATACTTTGTTCACCATTGCCCATTTCTCAATTAATGTGGATAAAAATAATGTGTTTAGTTTAGTTTAGTTTATACATACTTATATGCCGCCCTTCTCCCAAAGGACTCGGGGCAGCTCACAAAGATAAAACAATGGAACAATAAAATTAATACTAAAATAATCCAGTTAAAATCCCCAAGAAGTTAAAACTAAGACTCCCAGCAGATGAGGCAATTTGTTGGAAAAGCCATGTCTTCAAGTCACCACGGAAAGAGCGGAGGTCAGGGGCCATCTGGAGTTCAGTGGGTAACCCATTCCGGAGGGTCGGTGCGCCCACAGAGAATGCCCTCATCCTGAGCTCCATAAGCTGACATTGTCTGGCCGATGGCACCCGGAAGAGGCAGTCCTATGTGAACGCACTGGGCGGTGGGAGGCCGGTAGGAGGTGATCCTGCAAGTACTCCGTGCCCGTGCCATGAAGGGCTTTATAGGTAAGTACCAGCACCTTGAAGCGGATCTGAAGGACCACTGGTAACCAGTGCAGCTTGCGCAGGAGTGGTGTGACACGGGAGTAGCAGGAAGCTCCCGTAACAATGTATTATGTGTGAATGTATTAAGCAGTGAGAATAATGAAGTACTATATATCCTTCCACTTGGGCATTCCAACCAACATGAAATCTGTAAGTCCATTCTTAGCTAAGCTATAAAGAGAACAGGGCAAAAGATCATTGATGAATCTTTTTCAATTTTATGTCATTACTCAGAACAGATTATCACCCATGCACGATCACTTTCATATCAGAACAGAAGATAAAATTAAATATACCCTGTTTTCCCCAAAATAAGACATCCCCGATAATAAACCCAGTCGGGCTTTTGAGCGCATGGCAATAAGGCCAAGCCCTTATTTCAGGGTTCAAAAAAAATATAAGACAGGGTCTTATTTTCGGGGAAACACGGTATCTGTGCACTAAAAATAGAAGCAAGATCTGACAAATATCAATATGAATTATTGTAAGGTTCAACAGCTGATTTGGAAGAAGAAACACACTTTGGATAAGACTGAGTTGAAACCAGGGCAGAGAGGTTCACACATATATAAAGACTGCCCTTGCAAAATATTTAGTTGTTTTACAACACTAATGCTATCCAAATAACTTGTTTGTTCAGCTGTTTTTGCATTCATTCCTATTTATTTTTTGCACAGTAATGACTTTGATGAACCCTGGAGTCATGGGGGGGGGGGAAACCACACTGTAATGCAAATCAAAGTCAAATAACATTAGAGAAAAAGAAGAAAAATAGTAAATATTCCAGGACCTACATTTGTAATCTCAGAACTTCAGCTTTTATTTTAAAGAGATGACAAACAATGCTAATTTTAACTTTCATAGATTCCTTATAACAAGGCTGCTTTAGAAATCTCTCT